AGATAAATATATATACGCAAAAATTGTAAAATAAATGATGGTGTTACACGCGCTCAAAACGCGCTGTCTCACTTAAGAGCCTCATTTCCGAGCACTTTCCCCTGTTGGAGAACTCAACTGGCGGGTGGAACATGTCGCCTTCTTAGGAAAGCGGCCGAAAAGCACACGGAAAACTAAAAGCGTCCGCCGTACAGAACGCCGTTCAAAGGCGTCGGGACATTCACTTTCTCTTTTCGGGCCCGCGCCGACAGCATTTTTAGCGCTTGTTTAACGCCGAGACGGCAGAGTGTTTAAGCCAGCCCATCCCAACTTTAATGCGCTCGGTAACTTTATATTGGAAAATTAACGCTACGTCGTCTTAAGAAACGGGAAGAGCTCAATGATGTCAAAAAAAGGCTTTTTTTTTTTTTTCTCCTATGAGTTCCGGCTTTTTTTATATATAATTTATATTATCAATTTGAAGCCAACGCTCTTCGTGGGTCCTAATTAAATTCTGAATATTCTGCGAAACTGAAGATAGTCAATAATTTCGGAAGCCGTTTTTACCTTTTTTCTTTCATTTATTTAGAAATATTCACTGTTCTCTATGCAACCGACGAGAGGTTTCAAGCCAGTTTTATCGTATACATGTCGTCTCTCTTATTCGCGACTTTAGCGACCTGTAGATCACCACTATGACGCATATACGGCGGTCTAAGACAGGTCGGGCTGTGCCATGCGCCAGCTCAACGCGCAGCGATCGGGTTTCAGCGGGCAAGCACTGGACTCAAGACAGTCTGCCGCGACTTTTCTTCGCTACACTTCAAACCTGCGGTGATGTGTTGGTGTAAGCAAGCCTCCAGATGCTCTAACTCCTTCGGAGAGGCGATGGAAGGTCTGCGGTACTGATGAACGTCGTTAAACGCACAATGTCTGGTTCGCACGGTAGCGTGGGTTACGTTCAAAGCGACCTGGGCCATAGCCTTCTCTATACTAACAAAGCCTGGCACATCGACGAAGGATGCATCTATAGAGTGCCCGGTCGCAGATTTGGAGCGCGAGGATCTGGTAGCACAGAGCATCAAGGAGCCATTTCTAGGGAACTTGGACGTCAGCGCACGGCTTTTGCAGCGGCGAGGACCCGAAACACACTTGTTCGCTCAGGAAGAAATGTGTTTCGGCGTCTCGCCGCAGCGGGGCGCCAGTCACGTGGCTCTCCTCTTATCCGTTGTCTGCCGCTCCACCTTTTCCATTTCGGTGGCCGCTTCTCGTGGCGATCTGCCAGGCTTTGTCAGCATATAGGAAGCTATGCCTGGGCAAGACGCTGATACGACAGTAACAACAGGTGGCCGAGACAACTGTTCCATCGCACCAACCGCTGACGACACATGCAATCACGAGAGCCACAGGGAGGAGAAGAAACCCCGAAAGGGCCTATTTCGTTCACTTCCGTGTTTGCCCGCCACGTGCCGTCCGTTTTTCTGGAGTCGCGAATACATGGCTTGCAGGGACATCACATGATTAGCTGCCTTTATGGTGGCCGAGCTGCTGAGCGCGTACCTCTTGCAGTGTACACTTCGCTCCACTCACGTGGTCCTTATCCGCAAAATTGAGTAGGAATGATCACCGGCCTGATGCAATGACGTCACATGCACAGTAACTAACTGTATACGAGAAATATGGCGAGTAAAGGTGTAGCCTATGTGTAGCCGTTTGCGAGACACGAAACGAAGAATCGGAATGCAATCTTGCATTCCGATGATTGCCTATTGCTACGTACTGCTACATAAATACATTACGTATTGCTACATAACATCTGTTCTAGTCACAGAGAGAGCCTGTCATCATCAAGTTGCACTCTAAAAATGCCTGCGCGTCTACTTACCTGCAAAACACTCAAAGAGCCAATCATTGCGATCTAAGAAATCAGTTCAGAGAATGATGAGGCGGAGCGCTCGTTTAGACCTAAAAATGAAGTCTGCGCTGTGGCATTACGCAATGCAAATCGTTATGCTTGCATTGCGTAATGCCACAGCGCAGACTTAATTTTGAGTTCTAAACAGATGTTAAGCCTCATCATTCGCTGATTTCATTTCGTACATCGCAGAGATTGGCTCTTTGAGTGTTTGTCGGGTAAGTAGACACGCAGGCATGTTTAAGACAGCGCTTGTTTCCAAATTCCTTCTTCGGCGTTAATTCTTATCAAGTGACGTCCCAAATCTCACTGGTTACGGAGCGAGACAAAAATTCGCGTCCCGTCCTGCGCTTCTTGCGTTTTCAGAGAGACTTTAGTCACCGACAGGCTGCCTGAATGTTGTCCTTCTTTGGGTAGCGCCCAATTTCTAACGCACTGCATCGGCATCGGAATGTTGGTCATAGCCACATACCCCCTAAGAAATCTGGAGTGTTTGCTTTCCCGCAAGGCACCTCGGAGTGCCAATTCTAGCAACCTTTGCGAATGATAATATGGTCAGACCTAAAATAAAGAACTGCGCTGTGACACTAAGCATGATCAAACGCCATGCTCAATGTCACAACGCAGACTGTTTTGTTTTGTTTTTTTACAGCGGAGCTGTTAAGGGCTAGTTTCCCCAGGATCGTGTCCTCCGCAAAGGAATGTCGACACAAAACTCTGGTTGCCGCCGTCGCTCATGGATCGCTGCAATTAGGCAGTTTTAGTAGACCGTGTTTCCCCCTCCGCTAGCCTTCCGCTACGAAGAAACCGCCACTGCGCCTGCGCGCCGATGGTCTTAACTGTAGAGATCCGGGTAGCAGAGGGGCTTAGCGGAGCGGGAAACACGGTCTACTAAAACTCGCTATTTCTTCGGGGAAAGAGCGGGAACGGAATGAGCGGCGATGTGCGTAGCAGCGCGAATGGTTTTGGCAACCACCGCGAGGCCGCTGTCGCCTAAAGGTCCACTGCGTCGAGCGCTTCAGATTCGCTTGCGAAAGAAGAGCTGGGGTGCTATGTTGGGCTTTTTGCACTCCCAGGAGACTTGGAAGAAGGAAGTGACGTCAACGACTAGAACAAACGCAGATTGGATGTTGACAGAAGAAAACAAAATCAACATCCAATCTGCATTTGCTGCGTTGTTGACGTCACTTCCTTCTCCCTAGTCTCCTGGGAGTGCAAAAAGCGCAACATAGTCCCCCAGATCGCTCGCCTAGAAAGCCACCGCCGGGAACAGAAGCTACAGCTCCGTTGCTCTTCCTTCTTCACCAAAGTGGAAAGGCTGAAAGTTTTTTAATGAAATGTATTATTGAGTTTTGTTATTAGCCGAGTTCCCACCGTAGATTGCAGCGATTGGTTCTCTCAAATGTCTTGCGGAAAAGCAGATGCATCAGATTTCTTAGGGTGTAAAGAGCTTCGGATGTAATACGTCCTTCACTTTCGCCCTCCATCACAAAAAGACCGGACCTTTTTGTGACTGTTTGCGGATAACTCTCTTTTGTACGCCCTAGTGAAAAAAACATTTTAAGCTGACGTGAGATCCAGTAGTGGGAAATGGGACCCCTACACTGTCATAAAACTTGTATAAAGTCGAAAGTGTACAGGGTATCGCAGCTAGGAATATGCAATCGGCATAGAAGGAGTACAACAGCGTGTTTGATACGATTAATTGACTATATGTTAAAACGCTCGAAGCTAGACGCTTAGAAAAATGGTTGAGGTTTATGTGCACGGTATACGATAGTTTAACTCAAAATGAGTCACACGGTACACACCATTTCAGCATCGCAAACAGATACTCGTTTAAACGACGGAAAAATTATCAGTAAGTTTCACGCATCTAATGATACCTATATATATATATATAAACGAACATATGCAGATGAATGAACCGTACTTAATCCAAAGAATTAAAAGAATCAAAGTTTTCAGGAACCCGCCGAAAGCCAAAAAACGGCGGAGTCAGGATATATATATATATATTTATATATATATATATATATATATATATATATATATATATATATATATATATATATATATATATATACTGTCAACGACTTAATTTTCGCGGGCTCAAATTTTCGCGAATCGGGCCAAAGCTGAAATTTGAAATTATTCGCGGGTTCTAATTTTCGCGAATCGAGTGTAGCTTCCGTTGCGTTCACTTATTGGCCGAATTGTTCGCGGGACGTATTTTTCGACAATTCTAGGCGATTAGCGAAATTCGCGAAAATTAGGTCCTCGCGAAAATTTAGTCGTTTACAGTATATATATATATATTACAAGGCATGGAATCAGTCGTCAAAGATTCTCGTTCATAATTCAAATGCAGAAACATTCATCGCAAATGTGAGAATTTCGCCCTCGTGAAAAAATATTTGTGGGGAACTTAATCCTTCCTAGGATTGTTTTTATTCCTCGTGGTATTGTTTTTCTAATGTTTCTCTCGGTGTCTTTTTGGTTGCTGACTCCCGCTTGGACTCGAATAAGTCCGCAGCATTAATGAATAAAAAGATAAGATAGATCCGCGCATATTAAGGCATGTAAAGCTGCGGTCCCACCACTCCTACAAAAAAAGAGTCTGAGGTCTTCCTTGTACGACGGTCCCATTGGTTACAAAAAATGCCACGGTAATGGCGCAGGCTACTTGGTGAGATCATACTTATAAATCCCGAGACTATGGAATAAACGAAGAAAACGAAAATAAAAAAGGGAACAACACAATGACGTCTCATTTAAGATATCGTTGTGTTGTCCCCTTTTTTCTTTCTTATCGTTTGTTCTCTTGTCTAGGGTTTTTTTTTTTACGTATAGGTAGGAAATCTTAAATGTTACCTTTTCACCATGGATCGAAGCCCCATTTGATTGCAATTGTGTAACACCGAGAAGGGTCACATCTCATTATATTATTGCGCAAGCTGCATTTCTTAGTCGTACTCGAGTTACATTTTAGCTAACGGAAATTTACCCGCGTCTATATCGCAAAAAAGGATGTTCCCTAACCTATGCCGTTTTATGATCTCATTCATTAATGTATTCCGGCGTACGCTGTGTTTTCTTGCAACAGGTAAGAGCTTCACGATCACCATCACCCTGAGCACGAACCCGCCCCAAGTGGCCACCTATTCCAAGGCGATCAAGGTCACAGTGGACGGGCCCCGGGAGCCACGCAGTGAGTGCTAACTCAAGCACCCATTCATACTTGCTACAGCAAACCTGGGCGGGCCTCCACGTATGCTCATACAGGCGCTGTTTCGTGGTGTAGTCGTTCGTCGGTTACAGATAGTGCGTATCATAAAGCAAATGAGCTGCAACTTGTCGATTATAAAGCTGACATGTAATAATATTAATTGTGCCGCGGGGTGTTGAGACAGTATCACGTAAGTCTGCCACAAGGGGCGCTTTCATGTCCCCGCTGTACATAAGAAACTTAGGGTGCCACCACTAGCCTAGGGTTCTTAACGTGCATCACGCAGTAGTGGGCAGAAGCGGAGATTGAACCAGGTCGAATGAGCGCAGCGTCTTTTTTATGCCGTTCGTTGACTTTCTAAAACAAACAAATTTATATTCTGAACCATATTTAACGCCTTGGCAACGTCAAACGCTGTTTTCTGTCTTGTTTTTTTTTTACACATATTCACTTGAGCCGAAAATAACTGTACGGAAAGGTTAGTATACAAGAAAACGAGGTCAGGCACAATTGTACGAATACATCCGACGGTAGTACACCTTGCGTGTAACAACCAGGTTGCCTTCCTTTGTCTTTACTTCTTATCAGTATCAGGATATCTTACCTTTTCTCGAATAAATAACCTCCCAGGTTCCATATCTCTGTAATATTGCCCAATAACATATCGTTTTAGGACAAAAAACAAAAAAGATGTGATACTAACTTAGTTTTGCACATTTATTTCGAACACAGGCGCCTATCTATAAATGATAAGCGGAGCATTGCTAACACGCCCGCACGAAGCGTAAGCCGCGAGTCTTAAGGCCCCTCTCCCAACGTTCCTCGTAAACAAGAGCGCGTTCGATAAGGTACGCAAACAGCCAACCTCAAAGCCAAAAGAAAACTTCTCCCCGTAAAAGACTTATCGCGGTCCATCGATAGCTGACGTTTTGAGAAGATGCGAACAATCGAGGCACGAGCCAGGGGAGTTTCAAGAAACGTCAAGGCAGCTTTCTTATCGCCGTCTCCGTGTCACGAAAAACACCGCAGTCATCGAAAGCACTTGTCACCACCGCTGTGCTGGTGATTTCGGCCCTAACATCCAACGATCCGTTTCACTACCCTACGGAGGACCGCAGGGAACACTCTACTGTCGAGACCGGTTATAACGAAATCAATAGGAATCGGAAATCACTTCCCTATATCCGCTATTTCGTTATAACCGACTTCGGTTATAACGAAGTGCAACAGGGAATGGGAAAGCGTGATCGCTTCGCTGTAGCCGCTATTTTGTTATAAGTTATAACCGACTTTGGTTATAACGAAGTGCAAGAGGGAATGGGAAAGCGTGATCGCTTCGCTGTAGCCGCTTTTTTGTTATAAGTTATAACCGAGTTTGGTTATAACGAAGTGCAAAAGGGAATGGGAAATCGTGATCGCTTCGCTGTAGCCGCTATTTTGTTATAAGTTCTAACCGAACTTGGTTATAACGAAGTGCAAAAGGGAATGGGAAATCGTGATCGCTTCGCTGTAGCCGCTATTTTGTTAAAAGTTATAACCGAGTTTGGTTATAACGAAGTGCAAAAGGGAATGGGAAAGCGTGATCGCTTCGCTGTAGCCGCTATTTTGTTATAAGTTATAACCGACTTTGGTTATAACGAATTGCAAGAGGGGAATGGGAAAGCGTGACCGCTTCGCTGTAGCCGCTATTTTGTTATAAGTATAACCGACTTCGTTATAACGAAGTGCAAAAGAGAATGGGAAATCGTGATCGCTTCGCTGTAGCCGCTATTTCGTTATAACCGACTTCGCTATAACCGCTCTCGACACTACAACACATCGAAGCCAATCCCACGATTCCGTGTGATGCGTCACGTGATCTTCGGAAGGGGCACAGCGATGTGCGGGGCGCGTGGTCACGTGATTACATGACGCCAAAAGTAATTGGATGTAACATCAAGGCTCATTGTATCCTTTCCCGGTCACTGAAGTAGGTCGCGTGATCATTTCAACTGGTCGTATTCATCGGTTTATTTTAGTAGACGCAACAGGGGTAGTTAATATGTGTAAGTGCTGGCATATATTGCTCCTTCGATGCTTGTTCCAGTTTCTACACGATCGAATCAAGCAGGATACTGGAAGAGGAAGCCCACAGTTTTTGCCCTCATTGCTTAGAAAGAAGCAATCTAGTTGTACCTTGAAAAAAATACGTTTACTCGCCAGCTAATTATCGACCATAACTATAAAGTTGCCCCAAAGAATTCATACTAAAAAGTTTAATTAGATAATAACAAAGTTATTTTTGAATATGTAATTGCACCATTAAAACTATATCGATTGCTCGTAATGCACACCTACAAGTTCATCCTGTGACGAGTGCTCAGTGATGAAAGACAAGGAAGAGCCCTGAAGCGCAAGTGAGGCTCGTGTTTTGTACCGCGGCGTTGGTATGTCCTCAGTCTCGGGTATTAGCGATACAGATTCATGAGCTCTCATTTGTCATCTTTTATGTATTGATTTATTTATTTCAATACCCTCAGGGCCATAAGGCCTCTAAACAACGTTATTTACATAGGAGCCTCGTAGTAGTTTCACCTAGCAAAACTATTCTGCGAAATCACACCGATACCAAAAATACATCTCAAAAGACTCTTAACACAACTCCTAACTTTTACCCATGACCTTAACTTCGTTCTCGACCGGGGTTCCAGGACAGATTGCATATTCCTTGACTTCTCCAAAGCCTTCGATAAAGTACCCCATGTACTCCTTCTCCATAAACTTCGTAACTTAAACATAGATAACAACATACTCAATTGGATAGAATCGTTTTTAACAAATCGTTTTCAATTTGTTTGCGCCAACGGAACTAACTCATCATTATCAAGTGTTAACTCTGGTGTTCCTCAAGGTTCTGTGCTCGGTCCACTACTATTTCTTATTTATATTAACGATCTTCCTATGCATGTTTCCTCTTCCATCAGCTTGTACGCTGACGACTGTGTCATTTATAAAGAAATTATTAACGATTCTGACATTTCTGTTCTTCAAACTGATATAAACAACGTCACACAATGGTGCTCAGAATGGCATATGGAACTCAACACATCTAAATGTAGATCTATGAGAGTGTCCAGGCATAATAACACTTGTCCATCCTACAACATCATTAACTCCCCCCTACTTTCTGTTACTTCCTATAAATATCTTGGTGTGCATCTAACCAATGACCTTTCCTGGAATTTACATGTCGAATATGTCACTAATAGCGCTAATCGCTTACTAGGTTACCTCAAAAGAAACCTTTCGCTTACTCCTGTTTCATTAAAGCTTCTAATCTATAAGACTTTAGTCCGTACTAAACTGGAATATGCAGCCTCTATCTGGGACCCCGGTATCACCCTTTCATCCGCTGTTGAGTCCATACAAAATCGTTCCGCTCGTTTCATTCTCTCGAACTATCATCGCACATCCAGCGTCACATCTATGAAAGCATCCCTTTCCTTGCCTAACCTCTCTCTTCGCAGGAAAATATCCCGGCTTTGTCTTTTTCAGAAGATTTTTCACTCTAATCCAACACTTCGTCAAACATTATTCTTAGAACCATCTTACATTTCGCTACGAACTAATCACCATCTAAATGTGGGCGTCCCCCGGGGCCTCCTTTCTCCCCCAGACCTCAATAGATTGGAATCGCCTTCCTGCACTCATAGTCTCGATAACTGATGCTACTGATTTTAAAATTGCCATTACTAAGTTTTTTGATGTTCAATAACTTTTGTTATATGTCTTGCCTTATGTATCGTTATACTCATATGTTTCCGTTCAAAAAAACCCCACTCCTCTCTGTAATGCCTTCGGGCCCTGAGAGAACAATAAATGAAATGAAATGAAATGAAAGATTGAATGAAACAACGCTCCAGCACGAGACTACGCCCATAAAATCAAATACAGCTCGAAAGATCTAAAATGACTCATTAATATGTTCGAACATCAATACTTTTATCCCAGAGATTCATGAGCTGTGCACAAGAGCCTGGGACCCCAGATTCAGACATCTGGAATTCACTTCGCACTCCTGCTGATAAACCTACGCGCGTTTGTCAAAACAAACACTTGTATCTTCCCTACTGGGCGATGAATATTAAAGAAGTCAAGTCAGCAGCCGTGCTGATCACTGGTCAAATTCTACCGCTGCTGCGGGCCGCGGAGACATCGTCAGACGGGATTCTGTGGCAGGCAGAATTATAATGTCCCCCTTTATAAATGATATATCCGGTAAACATTTCGGGGCATTTTCATCATCTTACGCAGTCTCCAAAGGGTAAATTATCTAAAATGTGCAGATGAATGAACAGTAATGATCAGGTGAAACTAAGTTTACAAAGCCGCTGAAAGAGAAAACCTTTGCGGCGCCAGAAATCGCCAGAATTGCCGGATTGCCGGGAACTCCCAATTGCCAGTCGGACATAAACATCTGCTTAGATGAAAAATTTGGCTCTTGATCTGTAATTATTATATTTCGGGTGCCGCGCATTGAGCTTTCCCTTCTCAGTGCATTCATACGGTACCACAAAGTTCAGTTTATGAAGTGTTTACATTCATTGCCTCAGTGTTCTCGCACTTTATTTCGTCTCACGGGGTATACACTTTACTAAGGTTATGATGATGATGCAATAATGCAAAGGTGCAAGCGAGCTAGACAAAAATTATGATCGCGCACCGGTCACTTAGCTGTATTTGGAGATTTGTGCTTGTCCTTTGTCCCCCTCTGTCCAGGAATTATTATAATTGTTGAGGTTGAACCCTAAATCGAGCTCCTGCGTCTTTCGCGGTGTTCACCAACATCGTCCTTCAATGTACGCCGTCGCAGGACAACAGCAACAGTTCCGCGCCTTCGCGAGCGCATTCGGTCAGCGTCCCCCGTTCCTGGACCCCCTTCGAGAGTGGGACCACCTTCGAAGGAAGACGGCAGAGCAGTGGGCCCTGGATATCCCCAGGAGGATCCCCGGCGCTGGAACGCATCACGGTCAGTAAACGAGCAAACAAAATCTCCTGCATTATATGCGAGGGGCATGACATATTGATCTACAATATATTTTTGTCGCTGCTGATACCGGTCACTTGGAGGTCTGTATATGTGTCCACCTCCTTGATTCACTCCCCCTGGAGCCGAATTGCGTTGCGCCCCCTGTGTGGCACCCTCTCCATGGCCTGTTGGACTCAGTTCTCGAAAATGCCTCACTTTCAGGCCTAGACAGCTACTTCCAGGTCATCGGAGACCGCAAAATGGCGTCCTCTCAGGTGTTCGTCCGTTGCACCCAACAGGTGATAACCGTTGGGGGTTCCGATCAGCGTGTATCCGATCGCCTGGACTCCAAACGCGGCGAGAGAAAAAAAATAAGGAGAGGGGGACACCCTAGCAACGATAGACACCCTAGCAACGGCGCTCACGCCCGATTGGCTGGCTCGTGAAGATAGACGCTGCCGCCGTCAACAAAGGCAGCGGTAAGACACGTGGTGAGACCTGTCAGACTCTTGGTCGTGCATAGTTATGGCCCGACCAGGCCCTCGGTGGTTATCCCCTGTTAGATGCAATGAAAAAAAGCCGCGCGAGGATGCCATTTCGTGGTCACCAATAAGTTGGAAGCGGATGTCCAGGTGTGGGTGAAAGGCAGTCCCGAAAAGTGGTTCCAGAAGGGAGTGGAGAGACTGCCACGCAGGCGGTGCAAGAGAATACGAGTACAGGGCGAATCTGTCGAGAAGGCAGATTGCACCTGTAGTTCTACATCAATATGGTAGGGCCCTCGTAGTAGCGATACTCTTTGTCCTGGCGCAAGTTGTGTTCCGTTCACCGGTAAGGTGACTGTCACGATCGCCCGGGATCGCGGACAAGGGGTTGAGGCACCCGCCGAGGGAAGAGACGGAGCCTGGTGACGGTGGACGATGACTGGCCGCGAGCAGATGTGCTCGTCGGCGTTTAATTGATTCGGGTGATCAATGTTGCCCACCGAGCCTGCCGGGCCGACGAAGTTTATGCCGGAGGGGGGCGCACATGATTGTCGCAGTGACAAAGCAGCGAAAGCTATGCGGAGCACAAGTTCGTCTGCTTCTTGTGCGGCGGTTCCGATGATGTCAGAGCCCCGAGCTCTCATTGGCTGATTGAAAAGTGTAGTGGGTAATACGTGCTCGTTCGACCACGTTATCCGTCAGGCCTTGCACCACGTGATCACGTTTTCAAAAGCCAGGCGATTGATTGGTCCGGCGAAAAGGGAGCTTCCAAACTCCTCTGCACCCTGAGAAAGAAAAAGTCTGCGAGTTGACGTTCCTGCAGAACGTGAAGACTGCCAATGACGGGCAACGGTGGAAGCATCCTCCGAACCAGGGATGGGCAAAATACATGCAAATATGTATCGAAATACAAATACAAAATACTTCGTAAAAATGTATTTAATTACAAATCTAATTACATTTCCAAAAAAGCATTTAAGTACAAGATACAAATACAACCAAATGTATTTGGTCTCCTCCCAAATACTTTTCCAAATACATTCCTCGAAATTTGCGTCAGCGACTTCAGGGCACCTGCAACGGGTGTCCGGGTATCTCATTCTAATTTTGCATCGCACGGTCGGGAGTTAGTGTGCGAGGCTCTGGTAACGTAATAAAAATATAATCACAAGAAAAACGTAATCAGCTTGGACGTAATAGGTGAAAAAAGTACAGAGCTTCAAGCAGCTCTTTTTGTCGATTACATTTTGGTATAGACCAACAAAGAACCGAGACGACCAAGACGTGCAGAACTAGCCAGAGACTTTTTTTATTGTTGCAACTCGCACCAGTTACGAAAATCTGGACGACCCGCGCATTTAGAATGTTCCAGACAAAAATATGGATGAAAATCAAGCTGGAGAACATCACAAGTTGTCACAGGCACTTATTTAGCCATTCTGCCTGTGAACGTCGATTTCGTCACTATTCTTGCCCTGGACTAGCACCGTAATCACAAAGTCACTAAACGCTTGTGCTTGATTGAGAGACACTGCATTCGGTGCCGAACGTAGTTTTCTTCCTGCTCTGAACACGTCTTAGGATGAGCAAAATGAGTCGTGACAATAAATTTGAGGAATGTATTTTCGCCCATCAAATTGTATTTAATTACAATTGTATTTGAAATACCCACGTTTTAGTGTTTAAATACACAAGTCCTATACATTACCCAATTTGTAATTAATTACAAATGCAAAATACACAATGTATCTGAAATACGTACTTCAAATACTTGTATTTGAAATACTGCCCATCCCTGCTCCGAACGAATGACGAAGCGTCCAAAGTACGAAAAGATCTTACGAATTGCAATGGGCGTAGGACATATCTAGATTTGAGACGTCCTTTGCCGTGATTAGCGGTCTCCGTGCTCTACAAAAAAATAAACTTACATGCATTTTTTTTTTTTGAGGGGGGGGGGGGATGGGGTGGGCGTGTTAGCTATAGCGGTGAATCGAGTATGGATTCTCATACACGCTACTGTTGGACGCGTACACGCGTCTGAATAAGACTATACGAAAAAGGTGAGAATTTTGGACGACTGGAAATTGTTGAGCCAGAGATATCGTGCATTGTGGTAACTATGTGCATGTAGTGCCAGAAGTCTCGTTATCAATCATCTTCTCTGCGATGTTTTTTTTTTTTTTTTTTTTTTTGTTTCATTTATCAAGCGGAAAACAAATCTTCCGTGGACGGCAGCTGAAGTGTGGGCTGTACGAGATCGAAATTAAAAGCAGGGGATCCAAGTTAGACACTCGGCGATAAAGTTGCCGAGATCGCCTACCATCGGGATTAGCCAGCGTCGCGCTGGGGTCGATCAGCGCCAAGGTGAAGCGCGGCGCTGACCAATCGCGGCGGTCGGCGGTCTTGCCGACTTTCTCGCCGAACGTCCAACCTAGTGGCTAACTATGTAAAACGGAGATTACCAGATTGTCAGCTTAGAGTTCTCTCCGTAATGTCTCAAAAACTGAAATGCCAGCGGTCGCTTTACCCGAGGACACCTTTCTTCGCTCCCTGGACCAGCGCAGATTAAGCGCCGATCAAACCTATCTACACGCTTTCCTCACTTCAAGAAAAGATGTCCACAAAGAGGAATGAATGCCCGCTAAAATTACACTAGTCTTGAGGGCGACAGCTGCCTCGCGACTTTTCGGGCCGTTGCAAACGCAGAGCGGTTGCAAAGAATGGCAAGAGTGCCCAGTAGCTGGCTAATGGTGCAGTATTCTGGTGCACTTTCTTGGAGTCCTTCCTGTGGTTGTAGAGGGCGCAGCCGCGAAGGGCCGTAAGGGCGACAAGGCCGACAAAGCTGGGTGCGCTCCGAGGGGAGCTCGCATTCTGTCCATCGCTCCTTCCTTTCGAATCTTCTTTTCTTTTTCCAGCAGCTGTGGTTCTATCCACGCTTTTCGTAAAAAAAAAAAAGAGAAAACCAACAACAAAAAATAACAGGAGCCTTGCAGGGCGCGTCTTGTGGTTTTCCTAATGGAGAAGCAAAAAAGCTTTGCTTTTTTTTCCCATGTGCCCCTGGCCCTGTTCCCTCAGCTCACATTCACTTCCTCACCACTGTCCGCGTTGCCCACGTGTTTCTTTTTTTCTTTTTTTTTTAACGAAGGCGACACAAAGACTTTATGTTCAAATGCACGTCGGCGGCAAAACCTTCGACTGCGCCCAAGGTTTTGCCGCCGTCGTAGTATCTAATACGCTGGAATACAGCAGACGCGCGGAGCGAAGTTTCCTTTGTTTGTTATTGTTTGTGTCGTTTTGCTGTTTTAAGTTTATTTTTCAAGCGGGCAGTTGTGTATCTGTTGTTATTTTTTAGTTGTTTTATTTTGTGCTTTTCTGTGACAAAAAGTGGGCTCGAGTTTCTTTTTAGGATGGTCCCTTTAAAAGGTTAATATATTGTTTAACTTGCCGGAACAATACCGCCATCACGGGCTGCTTAAAATGTGAATGCAGCTCTTGTGATGCGCTTAATCAACACAACGTTCTTAATGATAGTCACCCTCCTATGAGGCTAGTTTGATCTTGTAGAGTGCGTAACAAACTCAATCGAGAGCTCGAGGTCAGAAAATACTTCGCATGTACGGTTGAGAGAGATAAAGAGGAGAAATAAATTTTCGTATGATCCACCAGATAGAGATATCATTGCTGGGTAAAGTTACACGGCTACGGGATTGCAAATGCCACAACCCCCAGCGATGTCATATTAAAACAGGCAACACCGCGGCTGGTCTGCTAGTAACTGCAGGTAACTTTTCCGGTGGTTAAAATAGCCTCAAGAGTGATTTTGAGATCACGTGACCGGCTCCGTGGTGTCAAGGAGCTAAAGGTACCCAGCGTTCCAAGCAATTCACCGTCGCAAGTCCGTTTTTTTTTGCTTCCGTACTTCGTCCTTTAAAGTTCACTTTTGCCCGCAGAAAGAGGGCGAATAGGCTTGAAATGTAACAAAAAATGAATCGCATATTCTTGTACCTTAGGAGCGACATGTAAGGTTATTTCTTCATAAAGTCGCGTTAAGCGAGGGTTAAAGAAAACGACACTCAAGGCTTACGTCATCTGAGAGGAATCGTGACTTCGAAATCCCTCATACACTCAGCGAACCGGCCCAGGTTGGCACCCTAGCGTCCCGTGCATGTGGACTTCACAAAGTTGCCACAGAGACGAGAAGAGGATACCCTCCAATTTCCAGTAGCGAGGTGAAAGTGCTTACTGCTCGAACTCACATTGTGGCGGTGGAGCGGACAGGTCTCAACTAGAAGAAACGTCCCGCTCTTCTAAAACCACGGTGTGTCGAAAACTCGGGGCGCCGCCGCCGTGTTCCCCCGGTGAAAGTTTCGGGCTCCACTCCCGCGGTGTTGACGGGACGGAAGTTTGAAAAGAGGGACGGGAGGGAAACAAGGAAACAAAAACAGAAAGGAGACGGCGAACGGCAAACAACCGCAGGAGACCGACCAAGCGCGGCGCGCGTCTGCAAGGGGCGCA